GCTGCCCTCTGGGCGTCGGGCCCATCGGCCAACCGGGAGGTCGCCTGTGACTTCATGACCTCCGCGGCACTGGGCTTGTGGACGCCACGGTATGCCTGCAGTGCAAAGCCTGCTGGGTTTAAAAAGAAAAAGAAAGAAAGGAAAAAAAAAATGCAGGGAGAAGCAGGTCAGCGCCTCACTTTTATAAACATACAATTGCCACTTGGAACGTTGGGCAACGAGCCCCATGCTGCTTCACCAAGTTTCTAGACAAAGTCTATCTCATCGCATAGAAGCAGCCTCCTCTGGAAACACTGGATGAACAAAGACATCCTCGAAAGTGCACCTACCCAAAGTCATGCATGCGGCAGCAAAAGGCTTCAATGTCTTGCCAGCATGTCAAATCTCGCTCCTCCACAGCTCTCTGCGTGAAACTGATCCTCCTCTGTTTGTGCTTTATATGCAGCCATCCAAAATAGGCAGCAGTCTGAAGGTCGTCCTTTCACTCATTAACTGGAAGCCAGCCTTTTGTTGGCATTTTGTTTTGCTTTCCAAACTCATGAGTCATGTTGCTCGATTTATTCGTAAACAGACGGTTGTTTACACTGTGGCTTGGAACTTTGGCGAGGCACGTGCTGCTTCACAAAGTCTAACGGCAGCTGCAGGATTACCCACAAAGCAGTCGATGTCCTTACACAGGGACGAGAGAGTTGAGGACAAAAGTGGGGAAAATCATACTCTGGGGGGGTGCCAGGAAAATTGACCAACCTGCTCGTCGCGTGCCACTCTCCCTCCCACTAGAATGGATGCAGCGTCTGTAAAGCTGATGTTTAAGCTGCCAGAATTTAGCCACAGTCTTTGGACCAAACATTCTTCGGGCCAAAGCAGAGGACCCGGAAAGCATCATGGGAGGTAAACGCCAACTCACAAGGCTTCGGCGGTGAGGTCTTAAGTGTCAGAAAGACCTTTGAAGGATTGTGTTCCAGGTGCAGCGCAAGTTCAAGGGCTGATGTTGGAGCTGATCAGAGAGCACCAGTCCCTGTTTCCCAGAGTTCCTGCGTATACTGCCAGAGGGTTTCGCGCTTCGCCCGGTGCTCTCAGACGACCGCATCTGCACCAGCCGCCCTGCCTTCGCCAGATGTCGCTACCGCTTATTGCAGAGCGGTGCAGAGAGCCGGGACACGCTACTAGGTACCTTCTGGATTTCTGACTGTGAAATCACGCTCTCAACCATCTCTAAATCCTGCATGAAGACCCTTTAACCCACAGGGGGCAAAAATATTCACACTAAAATCCAGTGGATTTAGAATAGACCCTCAAGGAACATTGACGGCTCTGTTAACATCGCATCATCATCATCGGCAGCGATTGAAAGAACTAACACATCCATTTTGACAAAGTGAGAAGTCAGTGTAGATACCTGTTTGACTTGTTGCTGCAGCTTTATCCCCTCAGCTGCAGCCACGTCAGAGGTAACCTCAGACAACAAGACTTTCCTTGGCCATCGCTACACCTCGTCGCATCCGAAAATCTGCTTCTACCCGCTACCTTCCTCAAGTCAGCCCCTGCAGAACCACGGCCAGGAGAAGACGAGAGATCTACATCAGTGCCTAACCACCGGTGGATCATCCCCCGCAAATGTTTGTAGCTGGATGGAGGTCTGGACCAGTCTGGGAGAGGCAGGCGACAGAGGTGGCAAAAGTACTCACAGTCTGTAATTGTGTAGAAATACGGAGACTTGTGAAAAAAAAAATACTCTGGTATAAGCTGCAGTACGGATTCAACTCGTTTACCTATTAAAAGTAGAGATCTGTTTTCAAGTGCAGGGAGTGAAAGTTAAAAGTCATTCAAGAAAGTAATACTATCTACTTAAATCCAGTAACGAAACATTTGTACTCTCTTACCCCGCAGCAGTGGCAGGCGAGCACCTGTGGAGTTCCAGCGCCACCCAGATCGCAGGGGCAGAAGGCGAGGGTCCCCAAGCGGCCGGCGGAGGCGGCAGTGAGGTGCAGGAAGACAGCACCCCATCGGATTATGACAACCTGAACAGAGCGCCTTCTCGTCAGACCATGGAGGATGTCGCCGGTGAACATTTCGACCCCAACGGTGAGGGCAACTCCGGCGAGGAATCAGAGGAGGCGTGGCAGACCGTAGACGACTCCTCGTCGTGGTCCTCCTGCGAGGTTTTACAGCCGGACCAGGGCAGCGATCCCGAGGGTCGAGTTGGTCCTGACTTGAAACCGATGAGATCCCCCTCGAGTCAAGCTGCAGAAGATGACAAACACCTCGACGGTGACACGGAAAGTGACCTTGACGGAGGACGCCATCTGAACACGCCGACATCCGGCTCGATCCTCAGCCCCCTCAGCACCGGCAGCTCAGAGGTGTTCCTCCCGTCTGGCCCTCCGGAACCTTCAGCATCCGAGCCCGATGATGCTGAGTCGCTCCTGACTGAACTTCGACAGCAGATGGCCCAGCAGAGGAGCGAGTACCAGGCTAGGATACACAGGTACAAAAATACAAAAGGTTTTTGGCCTCCGTGCTGTTTTCGACCAAATGACAATTGATCACGGAAAAGTGGATGCTGCACTCTCACCACAGGTTAGAGCGCTGCAACGACGCCCTTGAGCGGCAGGTGGCCGCACTGCGCGA